GGAGAGTCAGAGAGAGAGGGAGGGGAATATGGGAATGGGCAGGGGGAGAGGGACGACTCCCAGGCGGGATCCAAGCTCAGCACAGAGCCTGATGTTGCTCTGTATTTCACAACCCTGAGACCGTGACCTGACATCTGGAGGTAAACTACAGGTTTACATGGAATGTTTGAACGTGTTCCTGGTGGCTGACACAAGAAAATTAAAAGCCGCCTGATTCCAATGTCAAGCTCGAGGGAAGCAATCAGATCTGACAAGACTTGGCTCAGTGACTTGCTTCTTGTCTTTGCATTTTGTCCAATCAGATAGGACTTGGCAGTGACGTCAGGAAATGCAGCGAGTATAACCGGGCAGCATCCCTCAAGCCGCCTTCAGTGCCCTTCCTTCTGAGCTGTTGGGAAGGCGAGCCCCACATGGCTGAACCTGGCTATGAGACCTCTTCTGAGAAAGCCTCGGCACCGAGGAGCCCCCGGCAGGAGACACAAAGAGCCCGAAACAGAAGCAGCCAAGGTGCAGTCCGCCGCCATGGCTGCTGCCGACGCCGCCGCTATCCCGACAGTTTTGCCACCTATTTCCCCAGTGTTCTGAGGCATGTCCACGAGGGCCTGAGCCTCTCGCAGGAGGCCGTGAGCGTCATGGATTCCTTCGCCAAGGACATGTTCGAGCACATCGCCGAGGAGGCCTCTCTCCTGGCCTGCTCCAACAAACCCTCCACCATCACCACCAGGGATATCCAGACAGCCACGCACGTGCTGCTGCCCGGGGAGATTGGCAAGCACGCTGTGTCCGAGGCCACCAAGGCAGTCATCATGTTCAAAAGACTCGAATGAGCTGCCTCTGGACCGCCTGACCGCCTCGCAAAAGAAAGGCTCTTTTCAGAGCCACCTCACTTGGCACAAGAGACCTGTGAATATCCAGAGTGTCACCTACTCTAGCGTTTGGACCTGTGCCATCGTGCCCATCCTTAAAACACCTTTACCGTGAGCAAGTCCCTTTAATATATGTGTTTGGGCAGTCTGTTATGATTTGCTTTGGCCATGTCGCATTTCAAACACTTTCCTAAGTGGCCCATTCCTTCAGGTAAGCGTCCTCAGAACTCTTTATGGTCACAGGTGGGTCCACAATAATTTTACTTGCCTTTTGTATTCTCCTTCTCCCACTTGTGTTGAGTAGTATCTTACAGAGAATTTCCAAGTGTGCTTATAAAGCAACAAGTGAAGCACTGTAG